ATAGCCGTCTATGTTCGTTGCGTCACGCCATTTCCTTCCAGAAGACCTCCTTTTCTTCTTGTCGGTGTTGATGTTTGCAGGAGTTGGCTTGGTAACCAAGATTACGTTTCTTTTTTTTTTTTTCATTTTCTTCTTTAGCCAACTTCCCCCCCCCCCTCCCCCCTCCCCACACACACAAACACGCAGTGAGTGTTCGCCGCGACACCCAGAGATTTTACGACCTTTAATGGCGCGTAAAACGTTATACGGCTGCAGTGTTCCCAAGTCTTCGTCGTGAACTAAGCGCAGGCGTTTCGATGCCTGCAAAGACGGACCAACAACAGGCTACAGAAAGCTGATACAGAGCTTTACACAGTTCCAGCTCAACTGTCGGAACGTCTACGGACGTGAGTACTTATATCAGCCAATGAGACGCCAGGAACGTGTCACGTGATCTCAGTCTCAGCGTTTTCGTTGCGCACTAACGCTGGATCACGTGGTACGGTGACGGCGATCGATTCGCTCATACGGTTCGTTGTACGGTTCAGCGGAACCTTTGCGCAAGCAAGCCATCCGGTTGTTAAAAAAGGAACCTTCGCAGTAAAAAAAAAAGGAAAAAGAAAAATCGATTAGACCTTATGTCGTAAAAGTGTTCCGGCTCTTCGGCCTTCTGTTGAGCTAAGGACTACGTTTCGCGTGTATTAATAATTTACGGTGGTGTTATTGCATTAACGAGCGCGGTGGACGCCATCAGGGAACGCATGTCTTGATTGCTTCTTTACCCCTTCGAGTATTCCACCCCAATGCAGCTGTTCATCTTCGTAATTAAGACACACCAAAATAAAGAAAGAAAACGTGCCCGAAATATGATGAAGAAAGGAGTGTTCACACAAGCGGTTTGCCTTTTGTGTTGCGGTGAGCATTTCCATAACCAGCGGCGCAAAACTTTCTTTTGCATGGTTTTGAGCATTGCCACAGGCTCACGATTGGACACTGCGTTTCGGTGGTTCCAATTTTTTCTCTTTGCAAAACACTGCTCGCTGAACACTGCTCTCCCTGCGATGGCGCCTTTTTTTTTTTTTTCTTCTTTTTTTCTGCTAACAAAAAAAAAAAAAGACATTTATACGAAGGGCGTCAAAATTAATGAACAAATATAAGAAAAAGAAAATTGAGAAATTCTATGAAACAAGTGAGAAAAAAGAGCGCAAAGTTATATTGGAGCGCGAAAACTGTGCTTGTTGTCCTAGAATGTCATGCATCGATCGGGTTCTCAGGTGAACAGAATACAAACGGGTCTTGAACGTTATACTATGGTTCTTTCAACTTTTATGTTGGTAACATTAACAGTTGCAAATGTATCCCTTGTTGTCGGTTGCTTTTAAGATAGCTTAGCTATCCGTGTTTTAAGATCACTGGGATACTCTCCGGTATCCCAGTGATCAAGAAGAGCCTGCACATCCTTTTTCGTGTCACACGCTCGTTCAAGCCCTTTCCTACAGAAGTGAAGAGCGTATTTAATTAAAAACGGCTCCACTCCTCACCTCAAACTCGCATTCTTTCAGCAGTGGCTGTTCGTCCCGCATATATAGTGATCTCATTAGAAGGATTAAAAGGTTGCATTACCCAAGGGGCGCTTTTGTATTGCGGATGCATTATTATTTTCGAAACGACGAGCCATCGAACATAATGAAGTCAGTGACCGAGTCAGGGGGTTTGCCTTTGGCTTGTGCTTCAAAACAACTAAGAAAATGAGAGAAAAAATGCACACACACACTCACATACACACGCATAAACACAAAAAAGTTTATTATAAAAAAACGAAAAACCAAGGTCCGTCAATTGCTTTTCCTGCAGAATGCGATGCAACGAATTGCGGGAAAAAAGAGAAAGATATGAATGTAAGTGCGCATGTTCAAGAGAAAGACCCCAGCGGACGACGAAGCTCGCAATACGATTAGATCTGAAAAACGCGATGCGAGCAGGGACAGTGCGCAGGTCAAACGTCATGCACGTGAGAAAATCGTCACGACCGAGCGTCCTGAACGAGCGTCACGAAAGAGCGACACGCTGGAAACGTGAGAGACGACGACGAAGTGATCTGGGCCGAACGCATCTCGCATCAGCTCCGTGAACTTTTCAAGCTTTTAGCGAACCTCTGCAGTATAGTTCCAAATCTTCACCACCAACATGCGGTGGAACGCGAGAGAAACCCCCGGACACCAAATTCTTGGGTGAGCGGGCTGTTTTTTTCTCAAGATTTCACCGTTTTTCTCGACGAAACAAGGCGCCGCCTTGCTCAGCCTCGCGCGCCATCAAAAGACAAATGGAGGGCGGCCGTAGCTGCCGCACCGACGACAAGATGGACACTCGAAGCTTAGAAATACCTCTTTTGACTCCCGGAAACGGGGTCGTCGAGGTAGAAGGAGAAGAAATCACTCCGGAGGAGTTTCACTCTGCCGGGGGAGGTTGGATGCCGGTCTTACTCAAGGCCCGAGCAGAAAAGAAAGCGCTAAGCCTAACGGCCGGTTCCCAGCCAAACCGCACTCTTGGTAGGAACAACGGGCGGGACGGCCGAGCTCGAATCAAGAAGGCGCCAAGGCCTCCGAAGCTTCCGGAAGACGATGCGAAAATCGTTTTTCGACTTCGGGGAGGACTAAACGTGCGGAAAGAAGACAGAGTCTTGGTCCAACGCAGCATTCAACACGCGGCGCAGCTCTCATCGGAGAACGCAGGACACGACGCTTTTCGCTTCAACGAGGAACAAAATACGCTCATCGTGAGCACCCCGGCACTCGAAAACGCCGTCAAATACGGAGGAGTGCACTCTATAAGCCTCAAGGGACAAACCTACGAGGTTGTAGCGTACGCAATACCGCCAGACGACACCATAAAGGGCGTAATTCACGGGATACCGGACGAAGACTCCGAGCAAGACGTTCTAAACAACCTAGTCACGGCGAGGAACCCAAACGTGCTCCACGCCAGACGGATGGGCCGTTCCAAGTCGGCGGTGGTACTTTTCAAGGGCCAGAAGGTGCCGTTCTGGATCATGTACGGCAACGTGGAGTACAAGTGCAACCTGTACAAGAAAAAGATCGAAGTATGCGGTACGTGCGGCGGAGTCGGACATCGGTCCGACGTGTGTTCGCGACCGAAAGAGCAGCGGTGCAAGATTTGCAACACTCTAAACCCGACAGACGGCCACGCGTGCTCGCCGTCGTGCGGCATCTGCGGCAAGGCTCACCCCACTGGTGACACACGATGCAAGCAGCGTTTCAAGACGCCGTACATCCTGCAACAGCGGCAGTGGGAGAAGAAGAAGAAACAAGAGGAGAGCAGGTTCAAGGAAGAGGACTTCCCGCCGTTACCCAAAGGACGGTCGCGGTCGCGTTCGCGGTCACGGAGCCGAGCATCCGTGCGGTCAACCTCGCGGCAGCGGTCCGGCTCGCGGCGGAGATCGAAGTCCAGGAGGAGGTCCAGCTCCCGACAGCGAGTCAGCTGGGCCGGGGTGACCGACCACAAGGCCTCGGAAAAGAAGAGCAAGGAGGCCAAGACGCAGAAGGACAAGTTAGACGAGATCCTTGTCATGATGCGACAACTCCAGGAAGAAAACAAGGCTCTACGCGTGATGGTAGAGAAGACCGAGAAGGAGAACGCATGGCTGAGGACACAGCTTCAGCAGAAAAGCAACGAGACGGAGAAGGAACCGGAGAAGGCTTCGCCACCCGCGAAGAGGAAGATGGTCGTAAGACCGGGGCAAGAGGCGGTCGCATTGGATAAGGCCGAGGCGCCGCTGCAACAGGAAGTTAACAAGCAGGTGGTCGAGCTGATGTGCAACCCCGAGTGGCTGACGCAGCTGGCTAGGCACATGAAACAACTACGTACGGCACAAGTCGTTAGAAACCAAGATGGTGAACAGTAAAAAGTACATAATTTGGCAGTGGAATTGCCGCGGGTTTGGCAAAAAGAGGGGCAACCTACAGCAATACGTGAATAACAAAGACGAAAAGGAACGACCGGATTTGATTGCCTTACAAGAGGCGAAACAACTGGCCAAACTGTCGGGTTACAAGTCCTACGGCATGGATACCAAGGAAAAGACGCAAGTGGTCACGTTGGTCAAAAGGAACATACCGGTCGTCGTTCATGACACAGGCGTTTCAACAGTAGAACACGTGCTAATCGAGATAATCTCGGGGAAGAAGAAAGACCAGCGCAGCCTCTTCGTGCTGAACATCTACAGCAGCCCGGCGAAACGGCACAGATTCGCTTCCCTCTTCCAAGCGACCCTGAACATCGCCAGACGCCAGACACTGGTCGTGGTTGGGGACTTCAACGCCCAACATCCGGACTGGGGATACAAGATCGAACGACCCAAGGGCCGAAAACTGTGGATCGACTCTCACGAATGCGGACTATCCCTGATCACCGATCCGGATCATCCGACGAGGAGAGGAGCCGCCCGACAACAAGACACTACGCCAGACCTTACGTTTGTGCGCTATGCAAAGGATGCAGAGTGGACAAACACGTGGGAAGACCTGGGTAGCGACCACTATGTGCTAAAGATAACGATCCGCGCGGGCCCTGGAAAGCCGCGGGGCAGAAAGTGCAAGATCACGGAATGGGATAAGTTCCGAGAGCTGATGGGCGAATACGAGACGGAAGACGTCACAAACATTGGCGAGTGGATGGAATGCCTGCTGGCGGCTGCCGAGCGGACGACCAAGGTGATTCCGGAAGAAGCGGACGTGGCCGCTGCGGATAGCCGACTCTTACACTTATGGGAGGCTAAGGCTAGTCTGCAGAAGCGGCAGCGTACGCAACGTAACAATCGGAACCTTCGAAGAAAGATCGCTGAACTCAGCAGAACGATCGAGACGTACGCTGACCAGGTTACGCGTCAACAGTGACAGGATACCTGCGAAGGGTTCGACGGTCAGCCCAATGTACCCAAAACTTGGAACATACTGCGGCACCTACTGGATCCGGACGGTTGTAAGACGGCTCAGCGTAGCAAGATGTGCGAGATCATTCGAAGTCACAAGGGTGACGAGGACGACCTAGTAGAGGAGATCCGTAAGCGATATATTGGTGACAACCCGCCGAGAACACCCACGACATACGGCGGTGCAGACAACGAGGTGCTAGATGCGGACATTTCTGAGTTTGAAGTTGCCGAGACACTGTGCAACTTGAAGACCAAGTCTGCTCCGGGACCGGACGGTGTCACCAACAAGATGCTGCGGAACCTGAGCAACGAAGCCATAACCGGCATCACAAAGTACATCAACGAGTGCTGGAGACAAGGCCAGTTACCACGGCAGTGGAAAACGGCCAAAGTGGTCCTGATCCCGAAACCAGGCAAGAAGCCTCAGCTCGATGCTCTGCGCCCAATCTTGCTCACGTCCTGCGTGGGCAAGATAATGGAGCACGTCGTTCTACGGAGAATCAACGACTTCATGGAGAGGAACCAATTGTTCCCTCACACCATGGTTGGATTCCGGCCACACTTGTCTGCCCAAGACGTGATGCTGAGGCTCAAGCACCAAATCATAGATGGCGAAAAAAGCTCTCATCTCGACACTAGGGTGATCCTGGGCCTCGACCTTACGAAGGCCTTTGACACTATCAGGCATGATGCGGTCCTTGAGAACCTGGAGAAGCTGGGCGTAGGGCGACGCACGTTCAACTACATTCAAGACTTCCTCAGCGATCGGACGGCGCAAATCTCCATCGGTGGCGTCACGTCCGACGACATCAATCTAGGCGGGCGAGGCACACCTCAGGGCTCGGTCCTGTCGCCATATCTATTTAACGTGGCGATGATTGAGTTGCCTGCGAAGCTCAGCAAGATCGAGGGGCTGCACCACAGTATATACGCAGATGACATCACGCTCTGGATGACCGGCGGCTGTGACGGGTTCATCCAAGACACGCTACAAGAAGCGATACGGACGATTGAGGAGTACGTCACTCCGAGCGGCCTAACTTGCTCTCCACAAAAGTCGGAGCTCCTCCTCCTCAAACCTGTTCGGTCCCGCCAGCTGCCGTCGGACATCGCGCTCTACTCGCAAGGACTGCGTATCCCGTCGGTGAAGAGCATTCGCATCCTAGGTCTGCGGGTCCAGGCGGATGGCAACAACTACGAGATAATCGAATCGCTCAAGGCGTCGACTTACCAGATCACCCGGCTTATTTCACGCATCTCAGGCCGTCACTTCGGAATGAGGGAAGGAAATCTTGTACGCCTCGTCCGCGCCGTTTCGTCGTGAGCCGGCTGGCATACGTCCTTCCCTTCCTACGGCTCGGGGTGGCGGAGAAAGCCAAACTTGACTGCTTGATTAGGAAGGCCTACAAGCGAGCACTTGGCATCCCGGATTCTACGTCAAACGAAAAGCTGGCGGCGCTGGGCCTACATAACACCGTGGAAGAGATCGTCGAGGCGCAACGGACGTCTCAGCTCGAACGGCTAACAAAGAGCGCGACCGGGCGTCACATTCTCGAAAACCTGGGCATCCGCTACGAAAGACAAACGGGCGAGAAAATAGACGTGCCGAGACGGGTCCGGGAGAAGCTTACCATCCCAAACCTGCCACGTCACATGCACCCCGTGCACCATGTGGAGCGACGAACGGCGAGAGCCAAGGCCCTTCGAAGACTACTAGAGAAGGAAGAGGGCGTCTACTACACGGACGCTGCGAGGTACGACAGGGATGCCATGGCCGCAGCCGTGGTTGACAATCAAGGGAAGATCATTGCGAGCTGCAGTGTCCGGACGACAGAACCGGAGGTAGCCGAGGAAGTGGCCATCGCTCTGGCACTCAAGCTGCAAGACGCTAAAATCATTGTCAGCGATTCACAGATGGCGATTCGCCAATACGCCAAGGGACGGATCTCGCCGCTTACGCTTCGAGTACTAGGTGATCCTGAAAAGACTGCGAAGGTGAAGCTGATCTGGACTCCAGCACACTCGTCGCTCCCCGGCAACGAGGAGGCTCACGACGCGGCCCGAGGTCTCACTCGCCGGGCCGGAGCAACGTCGGACCCCTCCATCGAATCGTCGACGGGGGGCGACAGACTGGTTACGTTCCGAGACATCCTCGATCATTACACCGGCGAAAGGATGCGCTACCCTCCGGCGCATCCCTCGCTGGACAAAAGACAAGCGGTAGCTTGGCGGCGACTACAGACAGGCACCTACCATAGTCCTGCCCAGCTCAGCCGATGGTATCCGGATCGCTACAAGGGAGACTGCCAGCTATGTGGTGCAAGAGCGACTCTTCGCCACATTATTTGGGAATGCAGCCGGCTCGACCGCAAAGCCCAGCCACTACTAAAAAAGATCACCAACCAAGAGAGCTGGGAAGCTCTTCTTCTCTGCACCGACCTTGAGGTGCAGGAACAAGTCGTCCGACTGGCCGAGGACGCCGCTGGAGTCCAAGGGATTCTGGCCGCCGCCTAAGGGGTGATGGGGAGGGGACTCCTAGATGGGCCTCTGACCAATCGCTTAGTCTTTCTGGGCGCAATTAAAGGTTGCCTGCTGCTGCTGCTGGAAACGTTGAGCAGTTTAGTTTCCCCGCTGACGTGAGCTGTCGTGACGACGTCATATAACACGTTACGTCGTGCCAAGGTTGCATGACCTAAACACCGACCCAGTTTCCCCGCTAAATTTAGTGGGAAAATTTGACGTCACGTGTCACGCCACAATCCAATTTCTCGGCTAAATTTAGCGGAGAAATCGACGTCACGCGACCTAAACGCCTATCCAGTTTCTCTGCCAAGGGGGAAACCGACGTCACGTGACCTGATGTCACGTGACCAATAAAATAATTCACCGCGTCCTCAAAATTTAGTAGAAAACAAAATAGGCGTTTTATTTGTGTGGTACACATTCTGCGCTTAATGGTCTATGTCAGCATGATCGAGGTTTCGGTATTTCTTTACAGTGTGTCGTTCCTTGTCAAATAACCGGGTCTTTGGGTGTGTCAGGGCTTCGCATTCAATTCCACTCTGATTTCTTTTTTTTTTTTCTTTTTTTTGCGTTTTGTTTGGAATCGCGTAAATAAACTATCCATTTAAACTCAGTAAAGCTGCGCTCACTCTGCTCATAGAAAAAAAAAAAAAGCTGTCTGCAAATTGTTTGAAGCGTGTTTCTTATCTTTTTTTATACTTATGCTAGGTGGCACAAGCTGCCGCCCGTTACAAAGGGTATAGCCATTAGCATTCATCCATCCATCCATATTCATAAGGCGGTCTTTTCACATTGCCTATGCAAAAACTGCCTGCAGACACGTTCCATGCGCACATATGAATAAAGCAAACGCAATTCGAGGATGCCCGACGCGTAGTCCGCAGATATAATTCTCTCATCATGTCCGCATTCCGTGTCTTCTTTGTATCAGGCACGAGGAGTGTGACTATATATGACGGTTGCCCTGCAATACTGGGAGTCTGGATGAGGGAATGGTACTCCAAATGTATGCGGTCAACTCGCTCGCATCTGTTTAAGCTCAGTCTGTAGATTTATTAGTGCCGCTGAAAGCTTAAGGGGACACAGCCCCTTGGAAGGGTAAACGTTTGAACCCTGCGTTAAAATTAATGAAATATTGTAACGTAGAAAATAAGGTCGTACCCCGCACACTCCACCACTTTTGTAACGAAGAAAATTAAGGACCTCTCTTCTTCGTTGATGAAACGATTACTAAGGTTAACAAATACAACTGTTTATTTCAGGAATACGAGATAAAATCTTTACAACAGATATGGCCAATTCGTCAATAAATGTTGGGGGAATAATCCTAACCTCTGGCGACTTCCCCTGCCGTCCTCCTAGACCGCACTTTCAGCGGGTGCCCCGACCACAGCCGAACTCGACAAACAAGGATCCACACAAAGGCGGGCGAGCCGAACTCCTCCACAGCCGTAAGGGGTCCCAAGTTTGCGAGTTAGCGGGCGGAAGACTCCACAGCCGAAGGGGGTCGGACGTGCAGGTTGGCCTCCAGAGGCAGGGAGATGTCCAAGTCCTGGTATCCGGGGGCCAAGCGCCTTACGGCCCCTCGGTGGCCGCTTATATTGGGTTCAGCAGCATTCTGGGGTCCTCCAGTCCACCAATCAGAAAGTTTGAGAAGGACCAATCAAGAGGGGTTTCCTTAGAGCCAATCAAAGGCTCGGAACCTAAAGCAAATACGAACATTCCAAAAACAAGCGCACATACGAGACATAACACATTCCAAACGAAGCTCACAAGGGCAGCCATAAACAACAGAAAGCACATTCGTAGGCACAGAAGTTATACATACGCAAAGCAAAACCACCTCCGAAGTAGAGATCCCAAACGCAAACATACACAAGACAAAACGTTTCCAACACGGGGTTCTGTGAACTAAGTGTAGCGTTACAGCGTTCACGTTCGTCCCCATTCGGGGCCCCCCGACTCCGGTGGAATCCATGAGCCGTCCCGTGTAGACGGAACGAAATCTCGGAGAAGTCAAAAACATAAAGTGAAGCTAGACGAAATACTCGCGCGAGCAAAACTTCGCGACACCTTCCCATTACGGAAAAAGAGTGACCCCACTCTTGAAATGCACATACAAAATTTTTAACTTCTCCATCGTGAGATAAGCGGGCACACATTGTCTTAAACGTAAAACTTAACGTCAATCTGCTACTTCAACAAAACGCTACTTCGTTTACCACATACATGACATCAGAAATACACAAAAAACTTACGTGTCTTTTAAACAGAATTCACAAAAAAACTATCTGGGTAAAGGTAACAACAAACATCTTCACAAGGTCATGCACATGGTCATTCGAAAACTTGTCAAGCCGCAGTCCATCATGTCGTCGCTTTAGACAGTTCTTCAAAATTCCAAATGGTAAATGAGATTTTTTCATAAACAGTAGTCACTTCCATCGACGTTCAGAAAACACGTTTTCCGGTGATAATTTCTTAGTAGATTGCATGAGATGCTGTAGTTGTCGGAAGTCTGAATAACTATGTCACCTGTCGCGCCCTTGATAAACTCCAGCTCTTATTGAGAATTCTGCCCTTTCTCGCGTGAAGCAAAACATCGGGGTGGTCCGCCGTAAGTACCTGACTGAACCGAATCCACCAACAAAATAACTCGCACACAAGGAGCAGTATTCGAGAGCTCTCACTGTTGTCATTGCCCAAAACAAAGCCACTTATATTGGCTTGAAAATCGAACTCGTTACTTTGACGGCTCATACGTCCCTCCATCCTTTCTCAAGTATACTCAACATCGGGGCAGTCCGCCGTATTGAACATGACTGGACTTGGTCCCACCGACAAGGAGAGCCACCAGAGTAGAAGGAGAATTTGCGCAATTACCGAGCCCATCCAGAGAGTCCGCGCAGTATTTAACCATGGCTACGGCTTCTGGGGGCCCGAGGCGCTATAAAACAAAAGGCAATGACCAGAATACATTGTCGAGCTCAACTCTCTTTTCTATCTACACAGCAAATACGTTCCTGAGTTTGACACTTTCTTCTATATACACAACAAGGGCAACGCATCAGCGACAAAATACAAGTTATTTTGAGTCGAGGAAGTTAGAACGAAGGCGGGATTTTCAAGCGACGACAGAGTTCGAAAGTTCGAGGTCGTATTAGTCGAAGAGGCACTCGGTACTTTTTGCAGTGTTTTTGAAGCGAGCACGGTGCTTCACAAGGAACGGATGGCAGTTTTGTAGTGGACGAGCAGTTCTTACTTGAATTTGAGGAGGAGTTTCTGGGAGAGTACCGAGAGTTCCGGAAAGCACCACACAGGCGAGAATTGCCAGAGTGAGAAGACCGACGGGGGTGGTCATGATGGATTTACCCTGGGATGTCTCGGCGTCTCAGATGCCACGGTGAGTCCGGACGCAGCGAGGAAGTTGTTCTTGCCTCTGGATCAGGGTCCTAGGGTGATCTCGATGACGTCTTGGCATTTTGTAGCTTGAGGCACGAGCCATTTGGCGACTGTAGCAATCGGTCGTACCCTGCACACTCCACCACTTTTGTAACGAAGAGAATTTAAAGGACTCCTCTTCTTCGTTGATTAAAGATGCTGATATTAACAAATACAACAGTTTATTTAGTGGATAGGATATAAAATCTTTTACAACAGATATGGCCAATTCGTCAATAAATGTTGGGGGAATAATCCTAACCTCTGGCGACTTCCCCTGCCGTCCTCCTAGACCGCACTTTCAGCGGGTGCCCCGACCACAGCCGAACTCGACAAACAAGGATCCACACAAAGGCGGGCGAGCCGAACTCCTCCACAGCCGTAAGGGGTCCCAAGTTTGCGAGTTAGCGGGCGGAAGACTCCACAGCCGAAGGGGGTCGGACGTGCAGGTTGGCCTCCAGAGGCAGGGAGATGTCCAAGTCCTGGTATCCGGGGGCCAAGCGCCTTACGGCCCCTCGGTGGCCGCTTATATTGGGTTCAGCAGCATTCTGGGGTCCTCCAGTCCACCAATCAGAAAGTTTGAGAAGGACCAATCAAGAGGGGTTTCCTTAGAGCCAATCAAAGGCTCGGAACCTAAAGCAAATACGAACATTCCAAAAACAAGCGCACATACGAGACATAACACATTCCAAACGAAGCTCACAAGGGCAGCCATAAACAACAGAAAGCACATTCGTAGGCACAGAAGTTATACATACGCAAAGCAAAACCACCTCCGAAGTAGAGATCCCAAACGCAAACATACACAAGACAAAACGTTTCCAACACGGGGTTCTGTGAACTAAGTGTAGCGTTACAGCGTTCACGTTCGTCCCCATTCGGGGCCCCCCGACTCCGGTGGAATCCATGAGCCGTCCCGTGTAGACGGAACGAAATCTCGGAGAAGTCAAAAACATAAAGTGAAGCTAGACGAAATACTCGCGCGAGCAAAACTTCGCGACAATATACAGGGTAGGCTAGCAACATTTTGAGGTCTGTCGGTTAGATGGGAAGGAAATTGGAGCTGCTTCTATCAGCAACACGCCTACATTGTTTAGTTTGTCTATCGTCGGAAAACTATCCCATTATTCAAGATTTTTATTCGCTAGATATGTAGCAGAATGCCTAGGGGTTGCGGCTGTGAAAGTATTTTTTTTTTGTGAAAAGTCCTTTATTTCTATAAATGTTTTCTTCTGCAAAATTGGTCAACTTTTTGGTCTTCTGTGTCTTCAACAAAATGTCAACATTTTTTTTTAATAAAAACCATTCGTATATTGACCAAAAATATTCATAGCCACATTCCTTATTATATTTCCGACAGGAAAAGCGAAAACGAGCCTTGCCTGTATTTCCATTATTAAACGATAAATTGACTAAAATAGAATAATACCAAAACGTGGAACGGAGAAAAATGCATTCAAAGTGCTCCATACCCTACCTTCTCTTTAGCATCGGTCGACATAAAATAATTTATAATGAATTAACTATGCTGCGTAAACTAATTAAACGTGTTGGAAATAGTCGCTAGATGCTGGTGGATGTAAATATGTCATTTTTCAAAATCAACTTCTTTTGCAGAAATTTGTTTTCTGGGTAGTGTCCCCCCTTATGAAACGCAGGGGGCGTGGCTTATAATGATGCTCCTGCTTTGTGATTAGTTCTTTAGCGTATCGGCCGATTCCGCAGTCTGATTGGCTGAGCAGTGAATTCGGGGGGGGGGGGGGGGGGGGGGGGGATACAAAATCGGGAACAAACGACGACGGCTGAGATCATAGCTCCGTACCAGTACTCTTGTACTAATACTCTCTAAAAATAAAAAAAATAAAAATGATAATGGTGTGGCAACTTCGATAACAATTATCATCTAAGTGCCTATAATATGTACATGCTACTGACGGCCTTTCGATGACTGGTGAAGGAAGAATTTGAAGACGGTCACCGAGGCGGAGCTTGAACATTTTAGAGTATTAGTTCGCTGTGATGCTGTTGGACGTCAGTGTAAATATAATTATAAGCGTCTATGCGCTACGCGTTTGAGGGCGTCATATAAATCCTTGGAACGCTCGGCTTCGACACTCCCCAGGCAGCTCATAACAATATGTGGCGAATATTTATCGGGAGTTTCACTCAACAAAGCGCTTCGTACAGCGTCCCTTGGCAACCATCTAAACTAAAAAAAAAAAAAAATACTGACATCTACCGATGACGAATAGGTGCTAGCTTTGACCCGCCATTAGCATACTAAAATTTAGGTTGACATTTGAGATACTAGATGCCACTGAACTTCTCAAAGGGTTAATTGTGGACGGAGCGCATTCAGCGAGTGCCCAGACGCAAATCGTAATCTGGCTCGAAGACGCAAAGACGCCCAGAGACAATAGAGTGTTTTAGTAGATCGTTCAGTCACTCCCGCTGCGCTATCAGCTAGCCGCTACGACCTCCGCTATGTGTAGCGTAGCGGAACCGCCATTTTAAGTTTTAGTAGAACGTTCGCAACCCGCTACGGATTGCAGCGTTACGAGAGCTAACGCAACGCCACTAGCGGCTCTTTCGGACACTAAAGCTCGCGTAAAACAAATTTGTAAAGCAAATCTCCACAATTGTTTTTATTAACGTCGTTTTCTTAATATAATATTTTGTTATTAATTGAATAACGTGCTAATCGTTGCTTCTTTTGTAAGTAAATAACTATTATGCTTGTAATTGAATACAACTGACGGCCAGGCTGTCCAAGCCAAGCCGATATGAGTCAAAAAACCCAAAGCCACCGAGAAAAATCTTCAAAAATAAATTCCAACAACCGTAGCTCTTCTGTTGTGTCATTTTTCAGAAAATGAAACACCAAAGAAATCCCTCATATCCGCTGCTCGCTCGCTTCCTTGGTCGGTTTTGTCCTCACGACAAAGCGGTCGAACAGGAGGCCGCACCCTTCGCTCACAACACCACAGACTGCAAAGCTTTTTTCTTTTTTTTTCCGTGGCCGTATTTAGGATGTTTGCCATAAATTGCTACCTGTTGCAGTCGTGGAACGGCTTTGTCGCGGGTACTTCTCGCAGCAGCAAGATATAATACACCCATCAGAACCACAATCGCGAAGCGCACAGACCGGACAGGCGCGGCGTGGCGGCCATCTTGAATTGCGTCCCTCGCTGGCTCTCCTTTATCTCGCCAAGACTCACCAAGACCGCTAAGCACCCTGAAGAAAACGCCGCAGCTGCGCATGCGCGCCGCCAGCCTTATCTGCATAGTTCAAGGTCTTGTGGCGGATTACGGAGCCCTATCCGGGTGCTTAGCGGGCTGCGGAAACGGTCCACTACAATTCCCCAATGCCATCGGCGCGCCGGCGCAGTAGCGGCTGCTTCGTTGCAAAGTGCTTAGCGGAGGGGGAAACGCGGTCTACGAAAACTCCCTATTTTGGTCTGATAGCCTCCGCAACTCCGCAATATTTCCGCTAGCAGCGCGCATGCGCAGTAGCGTCGTCGCTCTAGCGTATAGCGTGGTGTGTAAACGTGTGTAGATGCTGCCCGCTTTTGGGTAGCATCTACACACATCCTGAATCTTCTTCACCGTCAACTGGGGCATAATAGGTAAGAAAAAAAAACGGGAAACGTTGAAATGCAAACGCCACAAGCGGGAGAAGGATAAGAAAAACACACATACACACACACACTCAGAGTCTCATGTTTGCTCATAATTGATTTCCCTCGTGAAATACAACCCAGGCTTGAAATTCCGCTAACGTATATATAGCTCTCTCGCTGAGAGGCAAAGCATTTGTTTCCTCTATCTGTGCACCTTTGTTTCCTTACCACGGAGGAAAAACAAAGCTAATGATGCCACCACCACTGCGTTGCGATTCCCGGATTTCTCGCCTTATATTATTCACACTCCCGGGCACAGTACT